AGCAAATCCTGAGCAAATACTGAGTTGTACCTAGATTTTTCTAGCAATACCGAGCAAATACCTAGCACTACCGAGCAAATCCCTAGCAATACCAAGCAACTCCTGAGTTGTACCGAGTTGTACCTAGATTTTTCTAGCAATACCGAGCAAATACCTAGCACTACCGAGCAAATCCCTATCAATACCGAGCAAATCCTGAGCAAATACTGAGTTGTACCTAGTTTTTTCTAGCAAATCCTGAGCAAATCCCGAGCAAATCCTGAGCAAAAAAATAAAGCATTCCTGGGTTCCGCTCCGGGTCAAGTCGTCGGGCCGCGCAGTAAAGAGTAAGAACACGTGGCGATATGTTATTGGTGGCCGAACGTACCTCTACGTCAGGTCAGAGGACGTAATAATTGTTCCATCTTAGAATAATAGATCTATCACATCATTTGCACACTTAGAGACATTTAAGAGGAGAATTTATTCTGTGCGGACATCAGATAGTTCGGAGGCGAAACAGAACGCGTCACATCATCCGACACATATCGATACCGAGCACTAGTGCCAAACAAAAAAGTGATGCTGTTCATTCTATTTGATCTCTCGACACTGCGCCCGGTGTCCACAGATAATAATTTTTCATTTAAGAGAGCCTATTACCAGTGTAGGAAATTTTTTGTCTTCTACAATCAGATAAACCTTAATTAGTCTATTGAATTCATTAGGAGAAATCTCTAAAAATTTAAAACATTTGCCTATCATCAATGATTAATTACTCTATCAATTAGTAATTAACAATTTAGCAACTCATTAATGATTCACACGGTACTATTTTTAGTAAATTCATTAAATTTTCAAGCCAGCCAAATATAGTAAAAAAATTTACAAATTTATTTGATTAACATAATTGCTTATAAATTGCGTTTAACCGAATCTGAAGTCCGAACGAGCCACAAGTCGTACTTCCCATACCAACCAGAAATACTCGCTCCGTCGATCGAGATCGGAGTCGAGGGAGACAAGCACGTGCGATCTGGCTTTCTGATCGGCCGGCGAGCAAAAGGAAGAAGAGATCTTCGCCGGCGGCGATAGGCGGAGGAGGAAGAGGGTGGGGAGATTGTTGGTGAGTTGATTACCCGAGGGATCGATCGGGGTGGGTAAAGAGAGAGGGGGAGAGAGGGAAGAGAGTGAGGGGAAAAGGTCGTCATCGGTGGCTGGAAGAAGAGGTTAGGAGATAGGTGAAATGTCGGACGCGTTTTGCCCGGAGTGCAAGAGGAGCACGGAGGTTGTTTTCGATCACTCTGCGGGAGACACGGTGTGCTCGGAATGCGGGCTGGTTCTTGAGGCGCACTCCATCGATGAGACCTCGGAGTGGAGGACCTTCGCCAATGAATCTGCTGATAACGATCCCGTACGTGTCGGCGGGCCTACTAATCCCCTCCTCACGGACGGCGGGCTTTCAACTGTCATCGCTAAGCCCAACGGTGCCCAGGGAGAGTTCCTCTCCTCCTCACTCGGACGGTGGCAGAACCGTGGCTCCAACCCCGATCGCTCTCTCATTCTCGCCTTCCGCACAATCGCCACCATGGCCGACAGGTAGGGTTTTCTTTTCTTTCCGAAATGCCTTAATTTAAGGAAAAGAAAGATCTTGGTACATTGAGCTTTTCTGGATTTGTTCATTAACAGATTTGGTTTTGGGTATGCATGAATACTTCTTGGTTGATTTGCTCCAATTAGTAGTCTGTAATCTGTAAAATAAGAAATAGGATCGGTCTACTAGCCATTTTGTAGAACAGGGAGAGTTTTAACCGGAGAATTTGGCGAAGGTTGACTTTGCTTCCTTTTTTTGAAAATTTTGTAATTACTCTCTGCTTATACCTTAAAATGTTATGAAATATGCTCCATCAGTTTTGCTTTTTGCAGGACCCTGTTCAGATGAATGTAAGGCTGTTATATTTCCAATATTGAAATTTGTCCTGAATAGTGTCTCATTCTTTTCTCTAATGACAGTCATTTCTGACTTATTCCAGTCCATCAATATAACATATTATGAAGCGTTGTTAATGGAATTGTGAGATTAGGTATCTTATTTGACACTTGTAGGCATGAAATTCTTCTTGGGATGATTAGAGTCCTCTTGAAAGGGAAATTTCTTTGTGATCTTGCTTCTGAGATTCTAATTTTGGTGAAGGATGATTGTCAATAATGATTGACAAAGGAATGCAGGCCAATTAACCATCAGATAGAAGAAAAAAAATCCCTTTTTAGTAATGGTTAAAAATGTCTCATGGTAGGATAATATATTATGAAAATTTTAAAAGTGCAACTTAATTAGCCTATCCTAAATATCACTAACACTGCCAAACTTGCCCCATCAATTTCTTTATTATATCTGAAGGCAGAGGATTTTAATGTTTGCGATGTTGTTATCATTCTGATAGAGTATCTCTGTGTAATGCCTATTAGATTGCTTCCCCTAAACTTAAGTTATTTGGTAGTGGATGTGTGGCAAAGTCAGGGAATTGATAGGAAGTTACTAGGATAAAAGAATAAGGATTCTATTGAGAATAGTAGCTTTCCCTAATCTAATCAAGAGGAGAGAGAGAAAGGAGCTAGCGGTTGTTCTTGGGAACCAAACCATGCCTTTCAGGGTTTTAGGTAGCTTAAAGATGATTTCCATGGAGAGAGAGAGAGAGAGAGAGAGAGATAGGCATAGGTAGGCCTCCTTATTCAAGAATTAGAGATATGGAGAGAGAAATTGAGAAGGAAAATCGCTTAGTTGCTACACATAATTCTTACGTTCTTTCAACATAAGGTCCATATGCAATTCTTATTAAATGCAATAATTTAGGAGTTATTGTCCTATAAATATCCTAAATACATTCAAATTAAAGATAAATATATCTTAAGTTAGTATAATATTTCCTTATGGTCTTCTTAGAAGAGAAACTACTATGGACGAGGATGATTTTGTGGAGGAAATTTATGATAGTTTCTTTGTTTCTCTTCAACTAATAGTTTTTTTCTTTATTCTTCATTTGGTTGTCTCCCCTTAATTTTTTAATTACATTTTTTTGCAATTTAATTCCTCTTTTTTTTTCTCTTTTGCAAACCCATTCAAAGTTAAACTTACAAAGTTTTCATGTGCACCTGAAATTTATGGAATAAGGCTAATGATGATGGAACGAAATGCAATCAATTACATAGCTGTAGTAACTTAAAAAATAAGACAAACTCTCAACTAATAATTTTGATATGAACTACGTCATGCCTAGAATATATTTTTATATAAGCTAAACATCTTAGATAAAAATGTTTTGAATGTTCAGATGAACTATATTATATTTTTAATATTGAAATATGTCCTGATTAATCTCTCTTTCTTTTTCTTCTGATATGTGTATACGAGTTATTCCAATCTACCAAAATACCATATTAATTAAGCACATTCGAAGTGCTATGAATAGAATTTTTACATAACATATCTTCTTTGACAAGTGGGTAGGCATGAATTTCTGCTTAGGATGGTTAGAGCCCTCTTTGTATTGGAGTTGGTTACTGATATTTCTTTGTGATCTTGCTTCTAAGATTCTAATTTTGATGAAGGGTGGTTGCCAATAATGGTTGACAGAGTTTAATTATCAGTTAGATTTACCACAATTGACTCAACACATCAGGTAACTTTACCGCAATAGATTCAACACCTCAGGTAACTTTCAACAAGAATAAGTGGATTGATGGAGACCTTAAGCAGTTTCCGAAAAGTTGGGTAATCCTATTCATGATAACCACAATTCTTTTTAGCATTATATGCTGCCAACCCGTCAAAAATTTCCCGTGTTTTTGGTGTTATTTATGTGTTCTCTTTAGGGCTGTCCTGGAGAACTTGTATGTAGGTTATAGTGGTTGGCATTTGCTGATATTTTTCAGTGGTATTGCATCAATTTTCCTCATGGTTGGTATTAAAAGCATGCTGAACTCGTAGATTGTTGTTTTTGGTATCTTCTGCTTTTTGTTGCCAAGATTTTGTTGAGTAGTATGCTTTACTTCTCGTGATATGGTTTTGGAAATAAATTTATTGCCGTAGCTGAAATAATGAAGCCTGTATGCTACGCAGATTTAAAGTAAAGCATTGAGATTGCTAGATTTTTTAAGATTTTGAAAATTCTGGTTTGCTTTGTATAGTTATATGGATTGAATGTCCAGTTCTGAGGTATTGAACATTATGATACATCAGATAGTATAATAGTTTAGTGGATGTAGTCATGAAGATGATAAACCGGTATTTCTGGTTGGTTGGTTTGTTTTTAGGTTTATGTAGCCATAATTAATGATGGATGAGGTGATCTTGACATCAGGACCGTTGTATTTTCAGCTGACTTATATGATTGTGGAATATTTGATATTTTTTGTTGCTTCTTTTGAGTGAAAATTACATCCAAAATTTCAAGTGAGGGAAGGATTATTTGTGACGGCTTTGTCTGCAGTTTGTACTTTTGATGATAGTTGCTACCAAGCCATTTTTGTGAGTTCTTTCTGTAATTGCACTGTGAGCAATAAAATTTTTTTACTGTTTCGTTGTTGACCTCTAATTGGTTTTTCTTTTTTCTTTCTAAGAACTGAAACAGGTAATAAGTTTGTATTCTTGAAATAAGCAGCTAACAGATTAGGCTGGTTCATTAGGTGTCAAGGCATCTCTTTTCGCCATGTCCCATCTTGGACAGTGGTTGAGGCACCAGCATATAAATGTCCTTTCTTCTTTTCCCAGCCTTGCAATAAACTCATCCGGTGCATAGCTTAAGGAATGCAAGCTTGTAAGCTAAGAAGTCCTGGATGATGCAGAATTAAACTAAATCCGGATGTATCACGTTGTGAATGGCATGTGAATTTAATCCCATCATTGCTCACACCTATTCCTTATGAGAGTGCGAGAGGTGAATTGAAAGTTGAGGAAGTTGGGATTTGATATGTTAGTGTGCACACTCCATTCCCTAGCCAATTAATCTGGTTTGATGCAAGCAAGTATTATGATACCAAGGCATTTGTTTGTGGCAAGCTTTAATCTAAGAAAATGAGGAAACACTTAGGTGCTTCTGAGCACATCCTTTTTTTTCACTTATTAAGGAAATTAAGATTCATATTTAACTACAATGAACGCTAGATTAATAAGTCAACCTAAAAACTTATCCCACAGTTTATGATTTGAAAGCCAAACCCAAATAATCTGGATAAAGCTTTAGATTATGACGATGATGATGACGAACTCTATAATGGATGTTGGACTGTTGCTAACATACAAATCTTAGCACGTACCTTTTTAGACCATTTCTTTGACTTTGGAATCCAACATTCCATGTATAATTTTTTAGTTGTTTACTTGGGGACTTGGCATTATATTGACTTGATTACTCTTATTTATTTTTCAGGCTGGGTCTTGTTGCTACAATCAAGGTACTGATGTGGCCACGGTCCACTGTTTTTCAGGGAGTATTTTATTTCCATGCATGAATTTCGGTTGGTTGTGATTGAAGCATATGGATGTTTTGATGGATTTATTGATTGGATTCCTATCCTATAGATTTAGTGCAAAAGGACAACCGTTTATTTACTGGATCTATTACAAAGTAATTTTCTGAAGTCATACATTACTACACAAACAAACATGCAGTATCACCCACTCGTAGGCTATGAGTGCATGCATGTGAACAAATAATGAATTAGGGATCTAGTTTATTGTGATGCCAAGGGATTCCATGACCATGCATATAACACCTTCATTATCATCATTTTTGCATCCACTCCAACTTAAGTTTAAAAGCAGCCTTCTCATATATGATGCACAAACATTTCTCCTCTATGAGGTATGCAGTGTCCGACACGTATCAGTCACAACACATATTTGACACGCCTTTGATATGTATCGAACACACCGAAATCGTGTTCGATTAAAAATATATTAAAAATAAATTGGACACATGTTTTAAATATTTTTTTGAAATTTTTTTAATATAATTTATTATATTTCATAATTTTATTTATTAAAAAATAAAACTAATTTTTTTTATTTCCTGTTAATAGTCCCAAATCAATTGTCTGCACAATATCACATTCATCAAACATATAATTTTCATTTCTATCAAGTAGATCACAGCTAGGGTTTCATAACAACGCCCAATATCATCGCAACATCAACGTCTGATCCCGTCAAACATCAATGTTTCAAAACCATCTTAAAACCAAAGTTTGACGCTAGCAATCTCTACACCCACAATCACGTCCTGCGTCATCTCGACGTCTCATCGTTGAACAAGATCATCTCAATATAGACGATTGATGTTGTCTCGACATCAAAGCTCGATGCCTGACACTTGACATCATTGTTGCCTCCCCTCTCGATGCTTGAAACATTACATCGACTTTCAACTCTTGATATCCTAATATTAATTATTTTAAGCATAAATTCTAGTTAATTGATTTAATATTTCTCAATTATTAATATTTTGCTTAATCAATTTCAATACACTATTTTTAAGATATAAAAATTGTAATATCATGTTCAACCCAGTCATGTTGTGTACGCGTCTTCGTGTTCATGTCTGTGCATCTTAGCTTCTCATCATTGCATTTATCTGTTCATTTGATTGTCTACACCACCTTACAATGTGACTTTCCAAAAAGTAGGCTCTTTTCAATCTACCCATTTTTGTTTATACCCTTCAACTTTGAGTAATTGTGGGCCAACTATACTTTCTTTGAATTTGTGTATGTTGCGGGGGCTTGTGTATCTTTAAGTTTAAGCATGCTGCCACACATACTGCATGCACACAACGACCTTATATGTTTCAATGACTTATACTTAAGTTTAGGCACACTGACATTTTTGTTGCATGCACCAAGGAATCACATGTAACAAACAAACATGCAGTATGTATGAATTATGATTGTGTGAATGGCTTAGTCTTTTATCAATATATAGTAAAAATCAATGATTTATCAAAGCGGTATCCACCAATATAAGTGTTTAATGGTATTGACTAGCGCATGTGTATGTGAGGTAAAAATACAATATAAATGTAGGGTCACATGGTTCTGGATTAGTTGTCTAGATTTTCTTCTTGAAGTTTGGTGGATGTAGATGGACTAGGGTGTAAAGAGTCGAGTTAAGTCGAGTATCTGCCTAATCGAGCTAAGCTTGTTTAACTCGAGCTCAGCTTGTTTGAAAATTATTAGGCTCGAGCTCATTAAGAAAGCTTGAGCTTGAGTCGTGAAATAATTAAAAATATTTAGTATTTATTTTAGTATATTATTTTAAAATTAGATTTTAAATATATTTTAATTTAAACAAGCGGCATGGCAAGTTTACTAGTCAAGCCTAGCTGAGCACAACAACAACAACATCAAGCCTTTGTCCCACTATGTGGTGTCTCATGATTATTCGACAAGTTTTACACGGGCTATCGACTACCTAACGCAACTCTCCACTTTTCTCAGATGGTTGAGCACGAGCTCGTATAATATGCGAGCTCGACTATGGGCTCGAGCTCTAACTCGTGGCTCGATAAGCTCAACTCGTGAGCTCGTTAACGAGTCGAATTCAAGCCGGCCCACGAGCCGGCTCTGCTCACTTACACCCATAAGATGGACAATAGTTGTGCAGGAAAAATCTCCAGTGTCATATTGGAGATTAATATACGGAGAAAATGTTATTCTTTGAGAGAAAACTGTTGAGAGTATCTGAAATAATCCAGTGCCTTGGTTTGCATCTTTGAAATTTTTGTATGTGCATAAAGTAGCCGTTATATTTCTTTTTTAGTTATGATCAAGCTGCAAAAGTTAAAAATTTGGTACTTTTTAAGTAAGAGAATTCCCAAGTGATGTCAAAATATTCATGTAATTTGAGAGAACATTTTGTTACAGTTAACGGTTAAATTCTTAATTGAGTGCATTTGGACATGCAAATGATGTTGATCTCTCTCTCTTTCTCTCTCTGTGTTCTAGTCTAGTGAGTATATATGCATGTATATTCCTTGCTCCATGTAAGACTTGTTATTCTGATGTTCATGATCAATTAATTCTTGGTTTGATAAGCAAGCGAACTTATTATGAGTGGATCTCTGCTCTTTTACTTGATGAGCAGAGCCAATCAAAGTGAGCTCGCTCAATTTTGTTTGTTCACACTCACATTAACAATTTGTTATTCCACTCACGATTTTTTTTATTTTAATTCATCAATAATTCAATAAATGTGAGTTTATGTCTAGTAAAAGTAATTGTTTGTCAAATTCTGATTAATCAACAAGTACTTAAAATATTATATGCTTCGGGCTATTCATTTGAGAACTTATTACGTTTTGACATGTTGACATTTTCTAATGTGGCTTTTGCTAGTTGTTTTTCGTATTTTTGGAGTGGGCAATTCACAATTGACACCTTTTCGATTGAATTGAAGTGTTACGCTATATGATCTCCTTGTGGCTGGATTATGGTGGCCCTAAACGTTCATTCTGATACGTATTTGTGTAGGATCGGGCTAATGAAATATACAAGAAAGTTGAAGATCTCAAGTCCATTAGAGGAAGAAACCAGGATGCCATTTTGGCTGCTTGCTTATATATAGCTTGCCGGCAGGAGGATAGACCTCGCACAGTAAAGGGTACACAATAATAGCATTTTTTTTATTTCTTCTTCTTTCTCTCATTTTCCTATTTTTAACACTTCACATCAGAAATTTGTTCTGTTGCTAATGGGGCTACAAAGAAGGAAATTGGCCGAGCAAAAGAATTTATTGTTAAGCAGCTTGAAGTTGAGATGGGCCAATCAATGGAGATGGGAACTATTCATGCAGGAGATTTCCTGGTAAGTTTACTGACAATAAGTTATTGGATCTTGTTTCTTTTTTTCGTTGGGACAAGCATTACTCCTTTTGAAGATGAGATGGATAAATTTTTGCTCCTTTTTTTCATGTAGATTTTGTGCAGAAGTTAGTATCAACCTGTATTACTTTTTATAAAGTTATGTGACTATGTTTTAATTATTTTGTCTGCCAATTTTTGCAGAGACGTTTCTGTTCTCATCTTGGCATGACAAATCAAGCAGTCAAAGCTGCACAAGAAGCAGTTCAGAAGTCTGAGGAGCTTGATATAAGGTACATGTTGAATGATTGATTTGATAAGCACCTATGCTATCATCATCTATTGGTTGTATTGACTTGAATTTTTTCTTAATGCTTTAATTACGGTAAGATATCTGAAATAATTTTACTTTTGTAGCAAGAACAATAACAATAAACCCTTATCCTATTATGTGGGCCAGTTCTCCATTGTGTTTATTAAGAGTTAAATTCTCAGTTAAATCTTATAAAAATAATTATATTTTAATATTTTCTAATCAAGTCTTTGTATTGTAGAAAGCTTTTAAAATTTCAAGTTGCATGTGATTTTGGCTTCTCTCACGAGTCATGACCTTTAGCCTGTGGAACTACACCAAAGAAGCTTTATTGTGTTACTTGTAATGGAGATTAAACTTATAAGGGATTGAAACTTCCTAGTTTGGGCTAGGAGCTGAAACAGAACATCAGACTGTCATTATACATTCATCCAAAACCCAAGTGAAGTTGACTGGTACTTTCAAAAAAAAAAAAGGTAAAGTTGACTGGTAGCAGAGTGATTTTCTTGGTGCTTGATAATTATCATGAGAATAGGAATGATATGTATGGTTTTAGAAAGCAAAGGGGATGGAGTTGGGCGAAGAAAGAGAAAATATGCAATTAAAGTGAAAATATGAGAAACGGTGCAAACTCCTAAAGAGTGAGAGAATGGGTGCATATCCATTCAAAGTAAGAAAAAGTCTCAAATCTAAAAAAAATAGAGAAAAATGTTTGGCATTTGTAAGAGTTTTGGGAAAATAAATGGCTATGAATGGGGAGCTTTTCCTGTGATTTGCGATTTGGAGAGAAAGATCAGTGATCTAGATAGAGATGTTCAAAAGTGAGAAGAGATGAGGGGATAAAATTCTTCTTTTATCTTGTAATTTAGCTCTTTTTGGTCTTTCTTGCATTTTAGACGATGGAAAAAAATGATTCATGTAGCCGAGCCCACGTTGGTGGGATAAAAACTTGATGTTGTTGTTGTTGCTTGTCGCACTTTAGACAAAGATAGTAAAGAGAGAGGGAGGTTGCCTACTACTTAGAAAGAGATAGGAGGCCTGTCCGGAATAGGTGAGGCCTGTCAGGAATAGGTGAGAGAAATATTATATGCTAAGTATTAGCTTTGATTAGACTTTGTAATAAGTATACATGAGCTCTTATTTATAGTCAGGAGAGAATAAAAATTTATGGAGGTTTGTAAGCCACCTAATCCTTAAAATTAATAAACCTTGGATTGCCCTTATTCTTATGCCTCCAAAATACTAACAACAACAACATCAAGCCTTTATCCCACTACGTGGGGTTGGCTACATGAATCATTTTTCTCCATTGTGTCCTATTAAAGGCCAAATTCTCGTTTAAATCTAATAAAGAAATGGTCATTCTTAATATTTTATAACCAGGTCTTTTTAGGTCTGCCTCTACCTTTCTTAGCATAAGTCAAATCTAATACCTCTACTCTCCTAACCGGGTCATTGGAAGGCCGCCGTTTTATGTGACCAAACCATCTAAGGCGACTCTCTCTAATCTTATCTTCTATTGGAGCTACTCCAACCTTTTGACATATATGCTCATTTCGTATC